TTTAGAGTCAAGATAATGTTCTCTTATCTCAGGAGTGCCCTTAAAAAGAAGATGACAATTTCTTCCTGTTATTATGTGACTAGAAATTACCAGACATGTAAAGAATGTCCTTTATCTCCCACCACCAATGAAACAGACTCTTTCTCACCTCCAACAAGAACTCTATCAAGGCATTGTTGCTATTCAGCCTAAAAAATCTTGGAACAGTCATAGGGTTCAGGATTTTAAATGCTGCATCTGTGAAACAAAATTACTCATCCAGTGAACATGTACAGTTTCAAGAGAGAAGCCATGTGTAACACACACTAGTTCTCTACCACCACAAGCAAAAAGCCATTTCATCTTCACCAACTCACCTCCACGAAAGAATAAGAGTGAGATGAGGGCCAATGATGGCTACAGTGCCCACAAAGAGTTATTTGCTAGTAGTTGGGATTACAAAATAACTATTAATCTCAATTATTGACTTACAGAAAAAAAAGAAAAATGATAAATGGTAACTGACACTTTAAAATTACACTGCTTTACTTTTAGGATATTAAATAAGTTTTTAAAAAGTACTCACATACTTACCCAGCTTATTTGTTATGATCCTGGCTGGCACAGAAATTTATTCACTTGAAGCAGAGTGAATAAACTAATGTGTCAGGCAGGAAGAAAACACCAAAAGGACATATTACCCCTTAACCTCCAGACTAACTAGAATCTATGCAAAGTACTAGCTGAGGTCTCATTGATGTTCAAATGCAATAAGAGATAACGTTAGTCATGAGAGGTTAGAGGTTTACAAGTAAAGATAGCAAGTATTATTAAGAGAGAGTAAGAAAAGACCATTTATTTGCTTTGGTTTGCCAGAATGGAGAAAGCAAAGCATGAAATGCTTCCAATCCTGGTTTTGCAAGCACACATCACCATAACACTTACTGCCTTGACCCTGGTCTTAATGAAAAAAAAAATTCTTTTTATCAGTTTAGTATTTAGTATTTAGCCATTAGTAAATGGCTCTTTGTGCCTACTGTCTTTTCTACAAGACACCTGAAAGATTCTGCCTGCAATAAACAGAATCAAGTTACCATATAATAGGGTTATATTAGCTTCATAATATCTGGGGGAAAACATACTTCAAACCAAATTTTGCCACAATTTTAGGACATTTCATTTTCTCACACCTCAGTTGAGCTACACTAGAATTAGGAAGCAAGAAATTATGAATTTAAAAAAATTTAAAGAAAGTAAATCAATCCTGCTCTATTGTATCACTTAAAGTGAGGACTCTCAGCAGCTGGGAACTCTTCAAGGTAAGAGCATCATTCTCACACTTCACACTAAAGGAAAAGAAGGAAATCAACCAGAATGGTTGAGAGATGGAAACCTCTGGTGAGAATAAGCTTTTAAAAGAGTATGTATTCTGTAAAGGCAAAAACCAGGAAATCTGGCTCCTGTTTAAAAAAAAATCACAAAGTATATGAATAACCCACAAGTTTCACAGCAGCAAAACGCATTGTCTGTGATGAACAGGAGAGAGGATTAAGAAAAGAAAAAGAGCAAAATGTTTTCATGCCTCATGATGAAGTACTGTTGGCTCTCAGGTGAATTAAATCAAGTCCACTAGCAACTAAGCACAGCAATTAGAAAACTAAAATCCTACTACCCTTGAAAATCCTACACTGGGGTTCGTTCCTCTGTGTTTTCTCAATTCCCATTACAGAGAAGTTACTTGATTACATAAACCAGTGACTTAAGGTATCAGACCTGAACTCTCTCGGAAATGATTAAGAAAATTTACATGAATTTGAAAGTAATTAACAGAAATGAGGGTTTATGGTCTATCCTTAACTGCTTAAGATCAACATTTTAGAAAGTTACTTTGATCTTATAGAAATTATCTCTTGTTAATTCAGAGACAAATCATTACGATGGATGAATCACCTTGATTCCATGTCTACCACCAACCCAAGAACCTTATCTATATGATTACTTAACAACCAGCTGATTTAACAATTATACCATTTGTTTATTTAAGCACCTGAAACTTACAAAGCACTTTAACACACATTTTCATTTTTAATGATCTTGATAACTTGGTGAAGGTATCATGACAAGTTAATTATGTTCGTTTTTACCTAGAAAGAAGGTGGGGTAGGGAAGCTAAAACACCCAGCTAAGATAACACAAGAGCCAGGAAATGATGGAACAGGAACAAAACCCAACTCTTTCAGATTCTTAGATAAGTATTCTTCCCATTTTATCCAGCTGGCTTCCTGAATTTTCATAAATTGACAAACTCAACTCAATATTTAAAGTCATCCAAATTAACTAACATTTACTACTTACTTAGAAAGCAGTTATTATACTGATTTTTCATTTTTTAACTGGTTATAGTAATATGCTGCAGAGTCTAAGAGAGGTAATGCTATATTACAAATATAGCTCATTTCATAAAGAAAATATAGCAAGTTAGCAGTAATTAGGATGTCGACAGCTCAGCTTAGTATAAACAAGTAATATATTTAGCAAGCAAAGCATGCAAAAAAAAAATTGCAGATGAACATAAAATAAACCTAAAACCTGTGCTGACACATCTGGATAGGTAAAACACATCCAACTGTGCCAGCCAGGACAATGAAGTACCTCTAGTTTTCTTGAGGTCCAGGGAAATTTCCTTAATGGTGAATTCAGTGTGAAATGGAGCAATTTGTTCTCGAAGAATCAAAAGGTGCTTAATTAAGAAAAGTTGTCCATCAATCTGAGTCTAAATTGTAAGAAAAAAAATGGATATGATCACAGATTAAGTCAAAATAGAAGCAAATAAAACACATGCTATTAATCAACATTAATCTACCTAGGTTTATGGTCTTATGCTGTGACAATACTCCTTTGTTGTACAATGAATTCTCCCCATGTTAGAATTATCTGGAAAAATCTTGCTTCAAACTCTTATTAGCACTGTCACCTGCTCTACTTAGGAAATCCAAGGAAGTAAGTTAGACAAAAGGCTGTAAAGCAACACATTTAGAAATGGAGGTCAAATCTATTTCAACCTGGTGCAGAGGGAGAAGAGATGATACAACCTAACAGCACAGAGCAGGAAGAAAAGAAAGGCTCAAAGAATAAGCATGATTCTAACCTCTCTTGGCTTTCTAGTTCTTCAGGAACAAGGCTTTCGCTACTTGGTTAAAGTGGTTTCAGTATCCAAAACCACAAACATACTCATATTTATACAAAAGTACAAAAGGAGCCCCCATATGTAAATTGATTTCAGTTACCATTTTGGATTATCCTGCCACCAACAGAACACCAACTATCTACACCCCTGAGGTTCCGCATGCCCTTTTGTTCTCTCAGGACCTATCCACAAGAGTCTTATGATTCAAGCTTAGTTCTCAAAGCTCTTACTCAATCCTAAAATAGTGAATATTCATAACTCTCATTTCAAGAAAGAGTCTTTATATTACTAAGAGCAAGGCTGTATTTGCTGCCTCTTGCTATTACTCAAGACAGAATCTTATTCTGAAAATATTTCTAATGAAATTTTTTACACTACATTAAGAAAAGATAAAGTTATATTTCAGTAAGTAATATAAATTTTAAATAGGTTATTAAACAACATGAGTCCCTCCTAGTCTCTCTCTCTCTCTTCCCTTCTAATAAACATAATCAATATAAGTATGACTTATGTGATGGAAACTCACTTTGCATTCTGGAACACAGACCAACAGATAACTAGGAAATGCTACATATTCTGAATTCTTGCTTTATTTTTAAAGGAACTAATAATTCTAAGGGCAAAACAGTATCGTATAGATTTGACTTACTTTACTAAAGCTGTTGTAATCCAGCTTTAGAATCATGTTCATCATGTTTAGTATCATATTGATTTGCTGACAGACTAGGTGCTCAATTTAAGTATGTAAGAGCAATTTCTTGCCTTAAAAAACTAGAAAGACTCTCTAAGACACTAACCCATTTTCAGTGACCACTTCTAAAAGGTCGAAAGACAAAAGTACACAAACTCAGCCATGAAAACAAATAAGCTAATGTTTACCAAATTGAGGGGTTCCTCAAATATACTCCAACCCCTTATAATATGGAAGAAACAGAACTAGATAAAAGAAGATGGCCTACAGATAATGAGGGCAAAAGACTGAATAGGTAAAAGGCTTTTTCACTCCTCCCTTAAAAGAGAGGTCAGTGGTAGAAGACAACATAAGCATATAAACCTTTTTTTTTTTTTACTTTTGAAGGTATTTAATGAACCTTTTCTAATTAGGTTACTTTTTTCCTCCTAATGATCTAAGAAATACATGCTTACTGTAGAAAATCTGAGAAATAAATATGTAGGGAAATAAATATATATAGGGGGAAAAATCATCCTTAATCACCCAAAAGCTTTCACGATTACATATTTTCTTCAATGTATTTTTTATTACATAAAGTTATACTCTATATCTGACTTATAGTCTGCTTTTTTATTGCCTTACTATGTTTAAGTTATTGCCTTACTATGTTTAAGTTAAATTTTATTGTTTCATGTTTAAAAATGTAAATGGCTGTATAATAGTCTACTCTATGGAATATGCTACAATTTAACCACTTCTCTAACGTTAAACACATTTCCTAATTTCACCCATTACCAAAAATGTGAAAGTTCAAACTTGGTAATACTTTGAAAACTTAAATTTGCCTATCTATAACTTTATTTCTAGTCCTCATATGAAAATTTCATTTCAACTCTCTATTCCATAAATGGGAAAATATAGTTGTCACAAAGGCAGAGCTTTTTCAGCAACAAGATTCCAAACTCTTTTGGTGGGGAGATTTTTTTTTTAATTTATCTAAAATCTTACAGTTAGAAATCAAGTTTGTAAACCAGAATTCAAAAACAGTTCAGAGGGCTTGAACACTTCAAATAGCAATAAAAGTCTGGCTAGAAACAGCCCACATGGCTCACTGCCGGTAGGCAATAGGCATTTTAAGAGGAAAATTAAGCAGAGCAACACCTTTGACACCTTCTACATGATCTGAAAACAAAAATCTCAGAGGCTATGGGAGAAGTGCATGCCAGCAGCCTTCAGCCCCATATCCCTTCTGGATGAAAAACTGTAAGCCACGTAGTCATAGCAACTGACTATGACATAGTCACACGACCAAAGGCCACAATTGTCCTCAAAATTGACTGACTCATTTCCTCCAAGTGAGGCTGTTCAACTATTCAAAATGTCATTGTGAGGAAGATTATCAATTGCTACATTTCCTTGAAAATGCTTTCTTGGTATTCCAGGGAAACAGCAGTACTTCCCTAGTTGCTAAGGCTACAAGAGACCTTTACCCTAAATACCATCTTAGTATTTTAGCAACGTGGATTCTCTTATATAGTGTAGTCTTTATTTAGCACTATAATGAAGTACTAGCTTCTCTCAAAGGGCCTCAAAATCCAATCATACTAAACCAACAAATCCTACTGCCAAAACGGTTTTAAATTTCTGTGTCTGTAAGTAAATGCTATATTCCCCAATATTATAACAGGTAATAAGATTTCACCTAACACTTAATCAAACCTTTCTTTTGCTGATAGACTCTGATGCTCCGAGTAAGGACTGAATGCAGGCAGACAATGCTTCCTGTGATAATCCTTGGAACACTGCCCTCTGGAGGAATAAAAAAAGAAACATCAGCCTGTGGCATTCACAAAACGGAAAAAAAGGAAAATCCTAGGCTGTGAGCGCAACAAACAATCTTTGCTTGCCCTCAACGTTGGATACATTTATTACTGGTACTATTCCTCCCTGAGTTTTCTACTCCCATGTAACCTTTCTAGACCAACGCATAGTTCCGTGATGTGCAGGCATCTCTAGAAACACTCGTGTGACCCTTCAATAAATATTTATTCTACTAGCACCTACTGCATGCTGAGCACTGTGCTAGACGCTAGGAAGTGCAGTACGAACAGGCAGGTGTGGCTCTGACCCCATGGAGCACTCACTTCAACACAATCTCAGGTTGGGAGGCTGTTTTTTAAATCTCTAAAACCAACTTCAGGAAATCTACTTCTAAACATGTATCCCAAGTAATTATTAATAATCAATATTTTAAGATTCATACACATGGCTCTTCAATACAGTAAAACTTAAAACAGCAAGAAACTGGAAATGATGTGTTCAATGATGGGGGATTGACAAAATACTAGTAAATCTAAATTACAGAATATTGTGCATGCATGAAATCAAAGAATGCTGAAGGAGGTGGTAAAATTCTTAAAAAATATAATACAATAGAGAAAAAAATGTTACAAATGGCATGTGCAGTATGATTCTTGATTTAATTCTGCCATTTCTATGTCCTCCCAGAGGTGTGGCATGTTGGCAGGGCCAGGAGTCACAGTAGGCCCCTTGCTTCCCTCCCTGCCTCCATTCTACCTGAGAGGGAACTGAAACGAATGAACAGGAGAAGGATATTTACTACTAGGCCACAGACTCAGGCCCTGGTCTCCTACTCGATGTTATTCTCTTCTTGTATTGCTTCTCCCTCTGTCATTTCCCATGAGGCTCTTTAGGAAGGAGAGATTAGGTCTGCTTCCTCCAGGATCACTGACCCTGCCTAGGAAGACTAAAGACAAGCTGCACAAATCAAGATCCTCTCCTTCCCCTGCTCAGCCTTACAGTGTTTTTCATTGGCTTGTCTTTCTGCACATTTGATCAGTAAGACTGAATAGGTTAAGATTTGAATATGAGTTAGGTGAAAAAAAGAATAGGTAAGTCTTCAGCATAAAACAAAAACCCAGCAGTGACCTCCTTAGGCCTACCTACTGTTTGGCTAAAATCTCTGTTAAGTACCCTAAAAGGCTTCATTCACTAGGACCTGTGATGACAACAGATTCTATGTGGAATATGCCTCCTGCATATTTTCTTTGTGATCTCGGCTCCACTGTAGGAAGTTTCTGAATCCCAGACTAATATCCACACTCAATACACCTAATAGGAAACCTGGGGAAGAAGAGATGCCAAATGTCTAAACCCCTCTCTGGAAGAGATCTCATCAGCTAGGCAAAAAGGCTGAGACATCTAAGTCTATGTAGAGGTGATGTGGCCTCATCCTTAAAAGTCTCAGAACTGGGCAAAAGGTACTCTGGTTGCATTCTAAAATTTCCAAGCACAAACCTCAGCAATTATGCAATTTAAATTAAAGACAGAGTAGTGTGGACTCTATCTACTGTCCCAATGAAACAACTGTGCAACCTTGTTCAGTCCTAGGACTCTGTGGCATAGAATATCTCTGTAGTGTGAAAGTATATGCGTACTTCTTTTTGAATCATATTCTTAAGAAATAATGGCATCTGGCCAGTTCATTACATGACTGCTATATTTAATCATTTCACTCTTTATATGCAGTCAGGGTTGTAGCAATCAAATTTATAAATTAAAAACATCAAATTTTATAAAACATTTTGGTTCAGCAACAAATCCCTGACAGCAAATAAATGTCAACAAATCTAATACTGCAGGGAATGATGACGATATCATTAAACTGGAATGCTTAAAATAACTCTGTCCCCTAAAATCCATGCACAAGGTTGGTCCCTAAAAACGGTGCTGCTAACTTCAGCTAAACTTAGTCTATAGTTAGAAATACATGTAATCTTAATATTACTTAAGGATGCTGATTCAAATTGAATATAAAACTAACTTACTTAAAGTCATTATATTTAATACTAAATGGATATTATACCTATATGACACTGGATATATCACTTAACCTTTCTGGATTATCTTCATCTAATAAACTAAGCCAAATTAATCAGCAGCTTTAAACTTATTTGTGGTCAAGGACTCCTTTGAGAATTAGTAAATGCTAAAGCCCTACTCCTCAGAAAGCCACAAATATAAACATACATATAAAATTTACCCACAATTTCAAGGTGTTCAGAGACTTCCTAAAGTCCATTAGTGAATGCTAAGGGTCTATAGAAAGCTCAGGTTAGGAATCCCTAAATTAGCTTGACCTTCAAGTTACCTCCATATCTACAAACCATGATTCCAAGAATATCAAACAAAATACTGCACCAAGCTCTTAAAAGAAAATTTAGATTAAAAAATATTCTAACTGAAATAGCAAGCAATTCACAGTGAAAATACAAGAATTTAAACACGTACATCTATACATCTGTATAATTTGGAGAGACAGACAAGAGTTCTTCGAACTGTAGGATACCACATTCCATGAAGATCCGCTGGAGAAATTGTGGTATGTGGTCTAGGATTGAGGGATTCTGTTGAACCTAAAAGCCAAATTGAAAAGAAGACACATTTCACACAATGTGGGTGTTTGTCTTAAAATAATTTACATGGCAACTATAAACTGTTTATTCTCACTAGCTATCAATAGGTCAGGGCATCAATTTTTTCCAGCATCACCTTTAATCAAGACTATCATGCCTGTAATCCTAGCTCTTGGGAGGCCGAGGCGGGTGGATTGCTCAAGGTCAGGAGTTCAAAACCAGCCTGAGCAAGAGCGAGACCCCCTCTCTACTATAAATAGAAAGAAATTAATTGGCCAACTGATATATATATAAAAAAATTAGCCGGGCATGGTGGCGCATGCCTGTAGTCCCAGCTACTCGGGAGGCTGAGGCAGGAGGATCACTTGAGCCCAGGAGTTTGAGGTTGCTGTGAGCTAGGACGCCACGGCACTCACTCTAGCCTGGGCAACAAAGCAAGACTCTGTCTCAAAAAAAAAAAAAAAAAAAAAAAAAAAAAAAAAAAAAATTTTAAAAAAAAAAAAAAAAAAAAAGACTATCATAAGAAATCTAAACCAGTCACAGGTGAGGAGATTCAACACAATAAATGAGAATGCACATGAATATATATATACATACATTACAGCCTCATATATAGACTCAACTCAAATTGCTTTTCTCAAACTGTTATCAATAATCTTTATGGAATAAATGAAAAGCATATTCATATTATGGAACATGACCATTAAAAAGGAGTCAGATCTATATGAAACTACCGGGACACATGCAAGAGCTAATGGAGGTGGGGAGTGACAAGAAAACAAAGCAATTTTCAATAGGAAGATTAATGAAAGCTGGTTTGCCTGTCAGCCTGTCTTCTATGCTCTGAGTTATATCATTTACAGGCCTAGTTAGTATATCCAGTTCCCAAGTGCCCAGACCTGGCTTCCTCCCACCAGGTCAGAAAAGGCAGCCACTGATGAGTATGAGGAGCAGCAGCTGGGGAGTGTGGTTGGGCAGAGAGTCACTTTTTTAAGGGAAGCACAATCACTTCAGGGTCTAGGGACAAGATTTTAAATGAGTCACAAAAGTGGAGCTGGTCCAACACTTTGGGAGAAGAGGTGATATTGAGATACGGACTGGGTATTAGATGATGCTGCGAATGAAATGTATTAAATTTTTAGTGTGATAAAGATTTATGGAAGGCCAGGCGCCATGGCTCATGCCTGTAATCCTAGCACTCTGGGAGGCCAAGGCGGGAGGATCACTCAAGGTCAGGAGTTCGAAACCAGCCTGAGCAAGAGTGAGACCCGTCTCTACTAAAAATAGAAAGAAATTAATTGGCCAACTAAAAATATATATAGAGAGAAAAAATTAGCCAAGCATGGTGGCACATGCTTGTAGTCCCAGCTACTTGGGAGGCTGAGGCAGAAGGATTGCTTGAGCCCAGAAGTTTGAGGTTGCTGTGAGCTAGGCTCATGCCATGGCACTCTAGCCCGGGCAACAAAGTGAGACTCTGTCTCAAAAAAAAAAGATTTATGGTTATGTAAGAGATATCCTTATCTCTGGAGATGCTGAAATACTCAAAGGTGAAGTGTCAATGATGTCAATAATTTTGTTTAAAATAATTAGCAAAAATATATAAGTATATATAATGTGATAAAATGTTAAGTCTGAATCCAGGTGGTGGGTATGTGTGTTTAAGGTTCATTGTATCTTTCTTTCTACTTTTCTATATATCTGTAATTTTTTAATAATAATAAATAAAAGTATATTCATGATATACCGGTAATAAGTTACAGAACAAACAAAATTCCTTTTTTAAAAAAAAGCTAGATCTGCATATACTTTAAAAAAGGCCTGGACATTGTATTGCATATATTTGAGGAGAAAGGGATGGAATGAGGGAAAGGTTGAATTAGTTCGTTCACCTCATAGTTTTGTAAGCTTGTTTTTATTTTTATAAAGCAAGTAATACTTGCATAATTTTTAAATCTCTTTCATAAAGCCTTGGTTAAACTAAGATCTACTTTATATATGACGTTTCTTGAAAAAGAAAAAATTATATCAAAGAATACTTATGAGATTATGTGTTTATAGTTTTCCTAAGTATTATGGTATTCACAGGATCCCTCATCCAAACTAGAAAGCCAAAAGAGTACCCCTAAATAAAAGTTTAGTAAAACAAATGTGTTTAACCACTTTAAAGCCAGAAGCCAGCTTGGGTGTTCATTTTTCCCTTTCCAGCTTAACTGAGCGTTGACCGGGAAGCTGACTTCCACAGCACGCCATCAAGAGCAGGTGCCTCCTGGCCGCCCCTTCTGAGAGCAGAGCGAGCCCCAGAACCAGGGCTTCTCTCACAGCCCCCTGCACATCTGCCTCATCATCCTCTGTGGCCTCCCCTCCCCTTCACTTGCTCTACATAGAGAATAAGCCTATGCTTCTGGAAGGTACTGATAATCGGTTTCCTCACAGAATGGCCCCTCCGCCAACTTGCTCTGACACCTCATCCTACTCCTTGTTTGTTTTAAAGCCTTCCTTGCAGACTTCTCATTCTCTCACTTAAAACACACCTGGGAACCAGGGAAAGTGATCATACTCTTTTTATTTTTGTTTCCCTTCCTACCTGACTCTGAGTCTTGCTTTCCACCCCAAGTTCTATCAC